AATAAATAATCTCGAAAAAACATCTCAACAATATTATTGACGACCAAAGATAGATAAATAAGGATACGCTAAACCAAACATCGCAAATGACACCCCACCCCACACTTAAAAATAGACATTGTCCTCAATGGCACCAACACAATGCTCAAGCAAAATATAGAAAATAAGCACAAGAGAAGTAGAAAACTCCCCTGATGGCGTAGAGCATCCGGTTGCATTTTTCAACAATTCGAGCCTGTATATGTCATTTTTCCTTTGAGGAAATGTTACATGCTCTGAATATGACCCCGTGTGTTTGATTGGTGACCTTTAGACTCTTCGTCCTCCTGCAAAGCGCGGTTTTAATTATTCTTGTATATAAATCTTATAGATGTTCAATATATCACGCTTCAAATTTTCCTTTTGCATGCATTTGACGATTTGATCAAAGTATGAGGACAAAAAATAAATAAAACAAAATTCCTCACCCAAGACAAATATGTCTCCTCTCTGGTGGCATCAGTGTTGCTTTGATTAGCCAAGAAGATTGAGCACAGTAGAGAAATAATATCACTTTGATCTTTCGAGGCCGAACCTTCCTGGTTTGGTAATGAAACAGTAGCCGCTGCAAGCCGAGATCTGGAATACGATAAATTTCAATCAGAAAAATGTTTCTTCAATTAATTATAAAAAACGACATCAACCGAAAAGAAATTTCCCAAAAATAAAAATGAACTGACCCATAGTAAAAAAAATAAATAGAATGGACAGGATAAAAGAGCTAAATAGAGGATGATTTGACCTGTTCCGACTATCTTTCTCCACCAAATTCACAAGCAAACCCAAAAGAGCAACGAGGAAATCTAGCTCTCGGTCAGTGAGAGGCGTACTGCTCTTAGGACTCGATTTAGATGATGAGATACTATCCCTAGCATCATCAGAATGCGGCAAACAAGTTCTAAATGACGAAAAATGACCAGCAAGCAGAGAAGACAATATTTCTAATCCCCCACAGGTGGCAATTTGCCGACAGCCGTCAGGGTTGTCGTTCGTCAAGTTCATAAGAACCTGAAAATCAAAATGCAACGAAATGATCCTCTAACAATGACCATTAATTTAGCCTTGGTCAGTGTAATTATATATATATTGCAAATAAGATAATTATCTGACACGAAGAGAGCAACATACGCAAAATGGTTAGATTAGACCCATCATAACCATGTCATTTGGAAGAAATAAATAGGAAATGTGATAGTGTAATGAAATTCACAGAAAAACAACTCACCAACACCAACAAACAAAAACCAAGAAACAATAAAGAAACTTAGATAGGTAAAAATTTGGAGCCTAAAAAATCCAACGAAAAATATAACCAAAGTCCAAAGTGGGGATAAATTTTTTTTACCAAATAACGTGCAAGCAATATTCATCAAAACATCCTTCCAAGAAGCTTATAATGTTCAACAATTTAGTATTCCAATAAAGACCAAAACGTGTCAGCTAAAAAATAAAATGCAAGTAGTACCTTGACAGCCGTGAGTAGACAATCCGCCAGGAGATTAGACTTATTATCATCGTCAAAAGCCGAAGAACAAGAAGCCTCCTGCGAATGACGATATCCTACATCATTCGATTCTTGCTGGCTGGCCACAAGAACAGGGTGACTCTCAAATCCTAATCGACTCCCACTTTGCCTGTTACCTTGGGACAACGGCTTATTCGAGCTTCCCGACATTACGTCCCACTTTGAGGGCTCACAGTCATCCTCGTCAAACATAAAAGGATCCTGACCGTCCATTCCTGAATTACCACTCGTGCGGACCATCCTATCAGATTCCCTTGATGTCCCGCCACACATTCCTGATTTGGAGGATTCGGCTCTCAGCTTAAGCAACAGGGTATCAGCGGAACATTGAGTGGGTCCAGCGCTCGATCTGATCACGTCGAGCTGGGTAAAACTTTCCTGAGAAGTTAAACCTAAGCCAGAAAGGCCTTCGAAATGGTTGCCCTCGTAAGGAATACAGCCCACCTTTTCATCTTTGGAATTGGATGGTGAAGAGTTCCTCAGTAATGAAACACCTAGTCATCAATAACAGATCAGGAACATGTAATAGTCATCAATGACAGATCAGGAACAAGTGGGTACAGATAAAAATAAAAGACACACGTGTGTGAGAGATTATGGGTGTGTTTGTTTATAAA